GTCGGATCAAAGAAGGAGGATCTGAATCAATCTGGCTGCTGCAATCCAAAACCAGGCAAGAACCAGACACGGCGGTAGTCGAGATCGAGTTCTCGGCATGGGCTTTCGCACCGTCAGGAATTCAGGAGCTTCGGAGAAGAACTGAAAACAGCTCAGCGGCCAAAGTGACACGTTCCCTCGAATCGGGAGGTAGGTTGCCAAACAACGAAACTGCTCCGGTTTCTTGTAGATAGTGGGACAGAGTTTCTATATGCTTCAAGCGCATACGCCACAACAATCGACTGATCTCTTCATTGTTGCGATAGGCTTGTATCGCCCCTCCAGCTCTCAATGATGCCGGAGTGAGAGACAATTTCTTAGGAATTCGCAGGACTGCTAACAAAGCATCCCAACGACGCCGGAAAGCAGATGGTGAACCTGCAAACAAAGGGGCATCGCGTGGAAGAGGTCCGAAAACTGAATCCAAAAAACCAGACACTTCACAGTTCTGTATTTTTACATGCTGCACTCTGCCAACTCCCCGCCAACGCGACTTGGGCTTTCGGATCAGTAAGAAACAAACCGATGCGCTTTCACAAATCAAATCACGAGGAAGCAAGAGATCACTGCGAACAGCTGCGAGAGGTTCCCCAGGTCTGCAGATGCCTTCATAGGCAAGCACTAAAATCCCCGCAACTCGTCTCCAACCCCACATCAAGGCGACCACGACCATAGCTCGGTAGACTACAAATGGCAGCGGTGTCCTATGTTCACTAGGCTCCAGACGCTCCCACTTTCCGACAAGCTGCCATCCTTTCCCGAGGAAAGGCCGAAAGTCAGGATGCCATCTCTGAATGGCGGCCAAGAGGTGTCGGAACAAGTACAAACTGGAGCCATCTTCAAACAGGTGGCGCCCGAAGGCAACAACAAGTTCAACAAGGGTTTGGGGACACAGGATTAGATTCAGAAAAGCTTCTTCACTCAGTTTCTTGAGGCACCACTGTCGAAAGCGTTCCCAAATCTTAAGACCAAGGAGCTCAGTGCTAGGCTCGACTAAAGTGACCTCGTCGAGCTGGGTGACAGGCCGAGGCCTGAGAGCTCGAATTCTGGGCCCTGGAAGGGAGGCGTCTCCAATCCTGCCAGACTGACATTTTGCTAGAATGCCCACATCAACCTTCTTTCGCCCGGGTAAGTTGCCCGTATCAATCAAAAGCGCTGTTGCTATCCAGAAGCACAGCGCGCGAGGATAGGTCTGGGCGGCCCGCGTCCATGCCATGCGATGAATGCGAGACCATCCGGATAGTCGTTGGTGGCTGTGGTCTCTCGAGCAAAACAAGTGTTGACCTTTCAGATGGCAGTTCGTGAGAATTCTGGTTCGCTTTCTCCAAGGTGCCCCACATCTACAGTAATCAATCCTGAAGGACTCTTGCTGATTTCTGGCATGAAAGTGTTCCCATTCGGTTTGGAGCCAAAGAAAACTTCCGTCAGGGTTTTCCACCCACCAAATAATGCCCTTGCTCAAAGCAATGGCGACCATGAGGCTTAACCACTGCGAATGATCATTCCCTTGAGCGACAGATTCAGCCATTCGCTCACTGAGACCGCTCACCCCGGCAGGTGATGCTGGTGTGCGAATTTGTGGTCTGACTGCTCTGGAAAAAGATCTGCAAAAAATGGCAGCCCCAAAACAACAAACTGCTTCGGATTCTAAAAGTTCTTGGACAAGTGCTCTGTTGGATTCTTTCCCCAAATCTTGCAGTTCGGAGTCCTCGATCTCAAAAGTAATGCACCACAAATCACCAAGTTCACAGACAGCACGAGCTACTCCTTTACGACCAGAATACAAATCCAGATAACCAGGAAAGTCGGGTATATAGCTTGTAGGAACTTCCCAAGTTTTCGGAAACAGAAATTGCTGCCGACTGACGCGGCGCAAAGCTGTCAGCGCTCGCTCTGAAAGTTGGCGAACTCCACGCGCGCCAGCATCTCTGGGATTTACCTGGGCCGGCAATTTCCGTTCTGGAGAAGTAGGTGAAAGCAGTGTTTTCTGGACCCGGCGCTTGGCTTCTACTTTGTTCTTCATGAAGAAGGCTTTTGACTTACCCCGATGGCCCCAGATAGGTTCAGACTGTGGAGCTCGAAGTTCTTCGAGAGGAGGTAGCCCAGATAGTTGTAACGGTAGGCACGTGCTCTGATAACCATGTATCAAACAAAACTAGCCGTTGCCTTTCACCGTCCGGAAATTCTTCAGGGAGCCACTGAAGGGGTTCTTTACAAGGCGCTCGAACTTCACGGTGTCTTGTGGGGTCATCTGCAACATTGTAGGCGCTAGGAACAAAGGCCCCGTTTGAAATAACTCCGCACCCTAAGTGAATAGGAAGAGAATCTTGAAGAATCTGGTTCAACCCGATCGACGACGACCGTCCTTTGATCCATGCTCCTAGGGCTACTTGACTGTCAGCAACATACATCGTCCGGTTTGGAAATTGAAAACCAGCAGCGTGTTGCTCAGACTTTGCTAAAGCTTGCAACTCCCCTATGTTTATACGCTGACCAACCTTTGTCTTCTTTCTGAAGTCTTCGTCGAATGGTAATGCGGACAGCAGCTCCAAAAAGAGTGGATGGCCAGGCAGGGTGCTGCCGTCTGGAAGTTCTTCATCAGCTCCCAAACATCCTTGGACTCGTTTCAAAGCTTTCAACGGACTCAGTAAACGAACCCAGGAAGACTTCCGAAGACGATGCCTGTGAACTTCTCCCCGGAGCCAACTAGGTAAGACTGCAGAACACACCCCTAAACCCCAGGAAGAAGCGTCGGAGGCATAGATTCTGTTGTTATTCCGCGCTTTCAGAAAGGTACAAGCCAGCGGGCTGAGAGTCACAAAAAGTAACAACTCACTCTTTAAGTCCTCTGAAAGTTTTAAGACTTGTCGCCGGTTCTCAGCGTGTTGCACAGCGCTGTAACAGAGGTTTACTAAGGAAAGCATCCGTCGCTTGAACAAAAATATCGAAGTCCAAGCGCCCAACAAAACCTCCAGCAGAGAAACCGTAGTGACACCTAGTTTCAGGATTCCTAGAGTGGCGAACAGGATGGGCACCAATCTCTTCAAGTTTGCACGAACATACCCTCTCTGTCCATCAAACAAAGCTCCCCAGAACTCCGCAACAGGCTCTGCTCGAAAAGTCTTTCCTTCATGAGGGTGAAGCCCCAGAGCTTTGTAAGTCTCTAAAGCGTGGTCCAACAAACAGTTTGAACGAAGCTCATCGTGAAGAATATGCAAATCTTGTTGAAGCACTTGCTCAAACAGTATCAAATCATCTATGACTACTCCAAGAAGACTAGGATTCCGTGGCAAGGCTGAGTTCATAAACATCAGATTTGCTTCTTCTAAAAGTCCATGCTGAATCAGTATACCGATGTGGGCCGTTTGGGCTAGTTCTACTGCGCAACTGTCTCCCATGGCCAGTGTCTGGAGGCACAAATACAAAGGCTGAGACTCATTCTCGAGCTCAGGTGAATAGCATCTGAACCTCCGAATTTGCCACGGGCGAGCTGTGATCAAGAGGCTATTTCGAATGGTCCGTTCTCTGGTAACTGAAAAAGAATAGTAGAATTCACGCAAATCAGTTCCCCAAGTCAAACAGACCGCTTCTTCAGGCAGTTGCATATCCAACAGGCAAGAAGCTGCGGCCATCGACCCAATCCATCTTCGTGGAGGTTGCTCCAAACAGTTAAACGGTCTAGAATCAAAAATGAGACGATCCCGTTCTGCATCTTTTGGAACACAAAATAGACCCGCTTGGAATCCAGGCAAGACTTCTGAAGCTCGTACCACACCCAGACGTCCTGAAGCATCTAGTTTCTCCAGCAATCGCCACTTTTCGCGTTCCAAAGCGTGCACCTTCACCTGAGGAATTGGGCAAGGACATTCTAGGGGATGAAGAGCACATGACAAAGGTCTCTCAAATATTGCCTGTCCATGAGAATCCAAAAACGGGCTCGGATTGAAGTTTGGCTCTCCTCGAAATTCTAACCTATCAGCTTCGATTTGTTTGGCGACGACGACATCAACCCCGGGCAGTTCACCACAGAATTCACCAGGCGAGACTTTTTGCAAACCAGGGGAGAGTCGGCTTCTTGATGTCTTTACGCGAGGTTGGCCACTGCTATCAGTGAAAAGTTCATCGAAAACAGCAAAAGCTTGAGACTCGAAAGCTCCAAGACGGTAGACTGCCGCTTCGATGTCCTCCACCTTAGCTGCCGTCCGTCCCATAGCCTCGGAGGTAATGGGGGGACAATCCATCCACGCCTTCAAGCAGCCTTCGATCTGATGAACGATCTGCCATTGCTTCTTACCCAACTTTTCAAAGAGCACGATCTCAGGAGGACATGTCTCAGGCCTCCGGAGATGAATCCAGTTCAACGAGGCTACGCAAAGGTTGACACCTCGCTGGAAGGCTCGGTTTTCGTTGAGCGCTGACTTTAAAAAAGCGCCCGGGTAAGGCAGCGGCATAGGCCACATCAAGGCGGTACTCCTCAACTTCGAGGAAGTGGCAGGCTTGCGATGGAACGATCTGAGGAACCCAGCGAAATGTCCACCAAGGTTCCGGATGAAACGAAAAGATGAATTCAACCACTGCTGAGGGCAGACTGTACGGGCATTTGCACCGGGAACTTTTCGGCGGACTTTCTCGGCCGAAGGTGCGTCATCATGCAATGACTCGGGAGTCGCAGTTTGTTCAAAGGACTCACCAAGAACTTGAGGCTTCTTCTCTTTCACACAGGGCTCTGGCCAGGTTCTTCGCCCTGGTTCTGAGCACTGCTTCCTCTCTGACGGGCCCTGTACTTGCCCTTCCCCTTTCCTTTCTCTTCTTCCTGGTTTTGCTGCGCCAGGCCAGGAGGCGATGGCAACTTGGCTTTCTTTCCTAGCTTGGCTTTCTTTTCTGCAAAGTCGTCGACTTCTTTCACTTTGTGCATCATGGCTTCCATCCATGACGAAGGGAGGAGTCGCGAATGTTGGCATTCGAACGCTTCTGGAGGCACGTGTTTGCCGAAATTGCTCAGAGGAGGGGATTCCTCGAGAAGTATCTCTGACCCTAGAATCCAGGAACCTCGATCGCAGGCCACCTGATCTATCGCACTGATCAAGAGAGCAAGTTTGGCCTTTGCTTCTTCCACACGATGCGCTCTCAGACTGTCGAGAGCTCCGCACACAGCCCAGAGCATTCGAACAGTGCCTGGGATGTTGGGCACTCGGCTCCGATGCTCGCACCACCCGCGGAAAGTCGTCTGATGAGCACTGAGACCTGGTGACAACTCGACTAAGCCACAATCTCGAAGCATGTTTTGCTCGACCACTGCAAAGATCTCCTCTGGGCAGTCTTTCATCGCTCGCCGTAATGTGGCGAGCACGGCTGAATGTCTTCGATTCCCAGTGCACGAGGAAGAGGAACTCACCTCGGAGTGGCCTACAAAATCGTCCAATGTGTCTTCCAGAGAACGACCTTTCACTTTCTTGGCTGAAGCGAGGGTCTCCACAATGCTTGTGAGCTTCACTAGAGCAGACTGCATCGGATCCTCTGGCTCGTGCAGGGGAAGCTGACTTTCTGGTTCGTTCACCTCGTCGAGGGGTTCGCCGAGCACATCTACCTTGGCTTTCGCAGTCCGAGGAGCATCCGGAAGATGAGGCCGATGACCAAGCAGCATCTGTCCAAGGGCTTCCAAATGTTGCCGCTCTACCCCGGCCTTCAAAGCAGCCTGGGCAGTGTGAGGATCGACACCTGCTAATCCAGATTCGACGTGGGCTTTTTCTGGAGCCAGATTGGAGCTCTTTGCTGTGTTTCTGGGCGCCGCAGCAGGCTGCGTAGTCTCGACAACAGGGCCCTTCTGGCTCCGCAAGCTCTGGAGGGAGGTGTTGATGTTGAGAATGGCTTCTTCTAACCGAGCGAGCCGATTTCGAGTGTCTTGTTCCACCATTTCGCTCTCGGCGGTCAAGAACGAGTAGCGGTCGTCGGCTAGCTGAGAGAGGGCAAGAGCATAAGGCACAAAACCCAGGGTACCATCTTCTGTGGGGAAGGCTGAGCTCACAGCATCCTGACTCAGCTCGCCAAACACAAGGTTGGATTCCAGCTCTGGTGCCAAAAGTCCCAACCATACTTTGATGAAGATATCGTCAGCTTGGTGGTCTCGCTCGCTCTCAACAACAGCCGAAACTGAAATGGAATTCACCTTGCTGAGGGCACCAGCTGGGAGAAGACGATTCTTCACGGTTCGATGCCAAAACTTGCCTGGAACAGCGACTAGTATCCGAGAATGCACAGCTGCAATGGCAATAACAGGAACAATCAAAGGGCTCCCGTCAGCAGCCTGGAGATTCAAATGACCAATCTGGTACTCAAGCTCCGCACTGCCGTCGTCCAGAACAAGGAAAAAATCTTGAACCGTAGGAGTGCGATCCTGAGGGGGGGCGTGAAAGGCTCCCCGTCTAGCTCATCATCCATGTTCGGACTGGAGGCTGAGCACACGTAGCCTCAGGAAGAGCCTGCTTTAAACTAGAAACTTGTAGACAGATTCGGACAAAGGACACTAGGCTGACCTCGAGCACGAGAATTAGATGAATTATAGTGCACACTTGAGAACTGAAGACCTCAGCGCCCCCTGGGAGCCGGAGCTTTCAACCCCTGCAGTCCTTAGTACTAGGCCTTAGAACGACAGACGGTCTGATCTTCTACTTGGCTCGAATCGCCTCGGAAGGCGATGCACTACGAAGTGCGGTAAAGTGGAGGAGCAACAGGTCGATGATGCAAGGCTACCAACTGTCTTCTAATCACTGACACCCACAAGTGCCTGAGGACTAAGAGCAGTTCAAGGATAGGGCCTAAGGCTACACCGATAAGGAGGCCGATCACCAAGGATTTCAGGTCCAAGTCAAATGCGAAGTCTGGAAAGAATGCAGGACACTGACACTCAAAAACCTCAGGAACCTTAGTGATGGGATCAAACGTGTCTGCTAGGATCCTCCAAGCGAGCGACGACAGGGTTCCCGACGCAGCTCCTATAGCTACGGGGCGGTGGGCCATGCACCCGCTTGATCCCAAGAAGCTCGCGGCAGGAATGTGCATGCGAGTCATCACTGACCTGCACAATAAGGTGTCACACCAAAATATGCCAACACGAGTTCAGAATACGTGGTTCGACGTTTGGCGTCCAATTCCAATGTACAGGAAGAGGGATTCTAATCAAATCTGTACCCATGAAACATGAAGGGTTATGAAGATTCTGTGGGATTTGGAAGGCGGTTTAACGCTTTGGTGGGTTGGTGAAGTCGACTTGACAAAAGGACCACGTAAAAAACAGGGCGGAGCATGTTCGCTGAAGCCGCCACCCTATGTGCACTCCCGACCTCTTGCTCCCTGAAACGACGATTCGGCCATTCATGCACTGTGCCATACCGCACCTCCAGGAGACTCACCCGCTTCGAGCCCGTCAAAGAAGCCACCAGCACTGCTGCACCACCGGCCTGTTCCTCCTCCGCAATTTGTGCGTCTTTCTAGGCTTTGGCAGCACTGATTGGAGGAGATCACCCAAAAGATCAGTCGAGTTCGGAAGGTCTTTTTTCTTTCGTTCTTCAGTTCAGATTGAAACTGAGGAGTTCCAAGGCTCCGCCCAATATAGGGAGACTAACTGGATCTCTCACATCTGATTAAAACCATGAAAATACAATACATAATATATACCGTATATTGTATAGAAGTGACAGGCTGGGTACTTCCCTCATCCCATGCGATTTCACCAACATGATGTCCAAAGGATTCCGATCTGAAGGTCTCCTCACGACTCAGGTCCATGGCGGGCTTTCGACCTAACCTGCCGTGATGGTTGGCAAGACGCTCGCTGCCCGTCGTGGGTTGGGGGAGATGGTTGGTGTGGTCAACAGCCCAAAAAGTGTCTTTTGGTGCCACCTCCAGGAGTGGCGAGTTGAACTCATCGACTCAACTGATTCGGCATCACCGCGGCATCACCCATTCAAGATCCCTCCAAGCGCGTTGGGCGTTGGTTGACATGTTCTTTGGGCGCTCTGATCAACATCCGGTTCAGCCGACTTACCCCCTGATCCACTTCTGAGAACCCGAAAAGATTCCAAAGACCTGTCAGCAACAGATCTCCTCAGCGCACTCGACCACCCACGCAACCAAAAACATAACAACAGGTGGTCGCGCGAACTCTTCAGCCATGTCGCAAGCCAGCCGTGCAGGCCACAACCAGGTCCCGCATGGGAATCCCTGCATCTGCCAAAGCTAAGGTGGCCTCATGGAGACAGGAAGAAGAGTCACTTACAGGCAATGGTTTATTGTTGGTGATTTCAGCCACCTCTCACGCCTCTCAGTCTCACCTTCCCTCACCACTTTTCAATGGGTCATTCTCGGAGCACCAAAGAAATATCTTCAATAGGTTTGGCCAACAAGCTTTAACCTTGCAAAAACGCAATGGTACAGTAGTACAAGTTCACACACAGGCACAGGCACACGCACACTCACACGCACCCCGACGACGACCGCATGCCCTTCTGTTTCAAACCAATGTCCCACATTCGATCGGCTCCGGGACTCCCAGCCGCGTTGATGGCAGCGGCCACGGGGCTTCCTTCAGCCTGACCCAGTTGTTCGAACGTGGGAAAGGGGTGAAAATTGGTCCAGGTTCAAGACTATGACATTACAAAAACGAACACCTTGGTAGGAACTGTTGCAGTTCCGTTTTGTGGCATTCACAGTTGATCAGTCGGAGCTATCTCTTTTCATGGGTGTGTTGGGTCGTGGAGAATTCTCCGACCATGTACTCGCCAAGACATACATGGTCGGAACGACTGTGGTGAGTCCATCGACTCTCTCCCCAGTTGCTACTTGTCCATGCATGGCACAGTCCAGGGGGTTCTGTGCATATCAGAACAGCTTCTTGTGCAGCAGACAGTAGAGCCAGCCAACACAGCTAGACATTGCTATACACAGCTACTTTGAAGGCCGAATTCTTGTGCTTGGCCTTTACCCTCAAGAACCACTCTTGATTGCCCGACCTCAAGCAGCAAACCACCACTAGGTACTACTGGGAAGATGAAAAAGGACTAACATGCAGCCGAGCCCCATCCCGAGACCATAAAAACTCCGAATCTCTGAATCTCCGGCCTGAAGGACCTGCACAAAGAGACGAATCTGCGAGCGTGGGTACCTTGGTGCCGAATCGAGCGGGCGCCACGGAGCGAAGGGAAGTCTGAAAGACTGACTCCGAATGACCCAATGACCTGAATACGGCCAGTTGATTTTTTTCATTTTTCTGTGCAGTGGATCCTGCAAATGAAAAGCTTTGAGATCGCCCTGCCTGCCCCATCAGTCTCAGCTGGGTTCCCATTCCTGATATTTCGGAAAAATCGCGTTCAACTGGCGTTCAACAGTTTATCGCTCCTCACAAAGAAACTACCGGTGAGCAACCATTCCATGATGACTCTCCAAACCATGGTCATGGTGCCAGAAACATCCCCATAAATACCATCAACCCAAGAAGCCATTCCACCTTGGTTCCCAACCAACCGGTCCAAAAAAACCGGAGGGGGGGATCACCCCTCTCACCTCTCACCTTGCTTCGAAAGCCGAGCGGCTGCTCAAGCAGGATCGCACTCTCAAAGGTTTGTTGCAGCCACATGGACCGCTCTTGAGACCTGGGAGACCCAGGTCATCGAAAAAGACACGCCGGAAAAGTTCGGGGGGATCAAACCCTTTTTTTTCCATGGAAAGCTAGCATGTAGATATCACACCCATGTTCCAGGGAGATCCAGGAATGTCTTAGAGAGGGTATGTGGCCTGTTGCTGAGTCACCTCGCAGCTTTGGGGTTCCTTGGGATCCTTGAGGGTTCGCGCCCCGAGGTCCTTTAGACCTACCGAAGCGACCAAACCCATGTTACAAGATGAACATGGCCCATGTTCATCTTCTCAAAACCCATGGACCTCTGAGCATCTAGTCATCTACTAGTCCATCTACTAATCATCTAGTCATTTGTGGTCCTAGCAACACCGTTTGCTCGTCTAGTCATTTGGACTCCCTTCCGCCAGGAATGGCCCCCGAATGCCCTTATGGACCTCAAATGGACGAATCCTCCACTTCACGGTGGGAGATTTGAATGATCGTTAAAGGTCGAGGACGAGGGGACGAGGGACAAGGATGCGGATGGAAGGGCCTAGCCCGGACGAGGATGCATCGCTCCTCGTTCCATCAGAGGAGGGAGGCAAGGGCTATACTGAGGCTACCGTTACGACGGTTATAGGTCTTTTGACCTGGATCCATGTTTCAGGAGCTCAAGTGTGCTTCCAAGTGAAGCTGCACAATGGTCTTCTGGGTAAGACAGGCAAGATAGCGTTCTGGAATTGAAAGTCCTCTCTCACATGGCTCAGCTGGGTTCTCTCACACAGCGCAGGCCACAGTCAGCTGGTGCAGCTGGTGCAAAAGGAAGGATGCATTAGGACTAAATAGGATGAGGATGTACCAGGGAAAAGGATGGATCAACCGATCAACCCGCAGACACACTGAATCACCTGGCGGTCAAGCAAGGACAACTCCAATAGCCTGAAGCTATCTTTTGGGACTTCCCGCTTAGTCGGGCGCAGTCGGGACATCCTCCACGTCTCCTCCCTGCCACCTGGCGGCTGTCTGTCTCCCTTCCGCCCGAAGTTCCTGGCCACCGTGGCAAAGGTGGCCGTGGACCTCAGTTTGGCAGACCCGAAACCAGACAAAGGAGGATCAGCATGCAGCTTTCAGGGCAAGTCCGAAGCGAGAATTCTTCGAACCCAGTCCGAAACGTGAATCTCTACCTGAACGCAGTCGTCGCATGCGTGGTGTGTGCTCCGGTTCTCCAAGCAATGGTTCGCCAACTCGCTAGAAATACAACTCGCTAGGTGGCAAGGAACAACCCTAGCTGCCCTACCTTGTTTCCCATTCCATCCCATGCCATTCCCACTTCACATGGAAGTTTGGAGTTGTATGAATTTGGAGGTCGAGAGAAGAAGCTTCTCAGCTGACAGCAAATCAACATTCAAACTCTCCAGAGCAGCTTCGCCACAAGCATGAAATGGAAAGTGGACCCTGGACGCCTGTCATTTCAAGATATTTCAAGGGCTCCCACAGCCATGTTTCTCCATGGAAATAGCTGGGCCCATATCTTGGACCCATCCCTGGATTTGGTATGAACCCACCTGCCAATTCGTTGCTTGTCTCCAAATCATTCCTCATGCCCCCATCATGCTGCCCAGGCGCAACGTGCAGGATAGGGTTGCGCGGTCGTGCAGGCTTTGCGACCGCTGCTTGGCCTGGACCAGGCTCGCTAGGACGTGCTGGAAACGAGCAGAAGAAGTTCCAAACGTTATAGTTATAGCATAAATTAGCCCAGCTGGAGACCCCAATAGCAAGATACAAACCGGGACAAAAAGAAAAATCTGGAAACAGCTGCTGTTTTCAACAAATCGACCATCTCTTCCTTGGACACCATCATCACATAACCGGGACACCATCACAAAATGACCAGGGCACCATCAAAACAAAACCGAGACACCGTCACAACATGATTGGGACACCATCACAACATAACCGGGACACCATCACAAGGTGACCGGGACACCAGCATGACATGACGGGGACACCATCACAACATGACCGGGACACCATCAAAACATTACCGGGACACCATCACAACATGACCGGGACACCATCAAAACATGACC